GGGTCTTATAAGTCCTTATTTCAACATGTGTCTTACTACTATGAACCCTGGAAAGGGAAGGATCCAACGGGTTAGAAGGGAGGGGGCAGTGGGGAGTGAGCAAAGGGAGAGGTAGTGGGTAGAAAGGGAAAGGCTGCATAATAGGTGGCGAGAGACAAAGGTGCAGTGGAGCGAAAGGGAACTGGGAGGATGAGAGAGAGAGAGAGAGATAGATAGATAGAGGAGAGAGAGAGAGAGAAGAGAGAGAGAGAGGGGAGAGAGAGAGAGAGAAGCGAGAGGCGTGCGCGAGAGGAGAGCGAGAGCGAGAGAGAAGGAGAGAGAGAGAGAGAGAGGATGAGGAGGGAGAAGGAGGGTGGGATGGATAACGAGGAGAAAGGGGCAAGATGTTGCATTGGGAGTGCAGGGAATGCAGTGGGGCAGGAAGAGGGGATTAATGAGGAAAGGTGGGATGATGAGGGAAGCACGGAAGAGGAGGAGAAGGGAGGAGGATAGGAACTTCCGCTGGCGAGCACAAGAGAAGGAAGCGCGCTGTTTTGCTCTCTTTGGCAGAAAGTCGGACGGGCGGGCGCTGTCAACAACAAGATTACACCGCCGATCAAGGGGTACTGCCTTCTCAGAGAAGAGTAAGTGATCAGCAGGCTACCAGGCAATGGCCTTAAAAAATTGCTATGTTGCTGTCTCTCGGACCCATGATTTTTTAGTGGTAGGTAGGTAGGTCTTTTTGTGTGTGTGTGTGAGGCATAATAGTTTTTTAAGTCTGTCCTCACTGTTTGCCACACACTTGTGTTTCGGTGCTTAACTATGAGGAATGTATATGGCACCTTCCAGACATACCGAAGTAGTAGATTTATTTATATTTATATAGACAGAAAAAAAGGGAACGCCCACAATGTCAAAAACGGTCGCGGCTTATTTTGCGTGGTCGGTCGAGAGCAGCAAACATAGAATTTTGAATGATGGCGCCTAGCACAAAATTAACCACCGCGAAATATACAGCGTATCATAGTATTTGAAATATAATAAACATTGGCGGAAATTGCTTCAAAAATAGAAGCCCAAACAGGGCGAACTTGGTCGAAAGATATAGGAAGAGGGTAGATGCAGTCCTGGGGGGAAACATAGCAACGCAGGGGGCCGTGTCAGAAACAAAATTAGTCCTTAACATTTGCTTACACTAACATTTTATAACAGTCAACATAAGCAGTAAGTGATCAATGCAGGCTACTGTTTACCGAAGGGTGCGAAATTAACGTGAGTCCGGAGCTCATGTTATTCCTGATTTACCTGTTAGAGAACGTGAGTTACTTACGGAACATAAACTCGGGAGAAAGGGGGGGGGAAGCCGATTGCAAGGGAGTGTGGAGTAAGAGTAGGAATGCTCCGTCATTAGGAGTTGAGTCCAGTTAACCGAGGGAACGAGAAAGATATTGTTGTTGATTGTATTGTTATTGAATAATGTTATTGTTACTGTATTATTATTGTTTGTTGTTATGTTTAGCTGTTATTATTAAATTGCTATTGTTATCATTATTGTTATTGTATTGTTATAATTATTGTTATTGTTATTGTTAGCTATGTTGTTATTGTTATACGTTTATTATTATATGTGATTATTATGAGTGAATATTGCGTTGTAGCGGCTAACCTTTTTCCACGCATGCATTTCGCAGGCGGCATTCGCAACAGAAGTTTTCGCAAGCACTACGAGGTGCATGTACCAGAAGAGGGCAAGATATTCAGCCGTTAAGTCCATACGCAATGCAAGTACAAGGCAAAATCGTACGTATATAACAGCAACATCACAATCTCACATACGTATATTCACATCGCAGAATGTAGATATTAATTATATTACGGAATTATTTACGTGACTGTCACCTCTAATATGATAAGATTCTACTAATCTTTATTTATTTTATCGCAAATAAAATTTTCTCTAAAAGAGCTTGAAGACATTCCTAATACTTTATAAAATGTCACTGCGTGGTGCCTAACTTGTCGCGTTTGGTTGTTGGGCGCTCCACTTGTTTTGTTGCGGCGTGCCAGACCGAAACAGCGAACACGCTGAAAAGGTTGCGAGCTTGGCGTGCGCGGATTGTCAGAGGTCAAATAACAAACTGCTTCTGCTTTCGACATTACAGCACAGGATAGGTACGGTAGATACAAGATAAACATAGATATAGGTAAGGATAGGTTACATAGATACAAGATAACATAGATATAGGTATAGGATAGGACGTAGATACACAGATAACTAGATATAGGTAAGGAATAGGTACATAGATAACAAGATAAACCTAGATATAGGTAAGGATAGGTACGTAGGAGTACAAGATAATAACATAGATATAGGGTAAGGATAGGTACTAGATACAAGATAAAACATAGATATAGGAAGGATAGGTACGTAGATACAAGATAAACATAGATTATCAGGTAAGGATAGGTACATAGATACAAGATAAACATAGATATAGGTAAGGATAGGTAGCGTAGATATCAATGATAAGACATAGATATAGGTAAAGGATAGGTACAATAAGATACAAGATAAACATGGATATAGGTAAGGATAGGTACGTAGATAACAAATAAACATAGATATAGGATAAGGATAGGTAGTAGATACAACCGATACAACAAACATCAGATATAGGTAAGGATACGTAGCGTAGATACAAAGATAAACATAGATAGGTAGGATAGTAGCATAGATACAAGATATACATAGATTATGGTAAGGATAGGTAAGCGTAGATACAAGATAAACCATAGATTATAGTAGGATGGTACATAGATACAAGATATACATATGAGTATTAGGTAAGGATAGTAGCATAATACAAGATAAACATAGATATAGGTAAGCGATAGGTACGTATATACAAGATAAATACAGATATAGGTAAGGATAGTACGTAGATACAAGATAAACCATAGATATAGGTAAGATAGGTACAATAGATACAAGAATAACATAGATATAGGTAGGGACAGGATAGGTAGCATAGATACAAAGATATAGCATAGATATAGTAAAGGATAGGTCGTAGATCCCGATAACATAGATATCAGGTAAGGATAGGTACGTAGATACAAGATAAAGCATATATAGGTACGCCATAGGTACGTAGATCACGATAACCATAGGATATAGGTAAGGATAGGTACAGTAGATACTAATAATAAACATAGATATAGTAAGGATAGGTACGTAGATAGCAAGATAAAGCATAGATATATGGTAAAGGATAGGTACGTAGATTACAAGATAAACATAGATATGAGGTAAGGAAGGTACGTAGATACAAGATAAACATAGATAATAGGTAAGGATACAGGTTACGTAGATAACCAGATAAATCATAGATTATAGGTAAGGATAGGACAAGATACAAAATAAACTAGATATAGGTAAGCATAGTACTAGATACAAGATAGAACATAGATATTAGGTAAGGATCCGGTAAACATAGGATACAGAGATAAACATAGATATAGGGTAAGGATACGGTACGTAGATTACCAGAAAACCCTTAGATATACGGTAAGGATTAGGTACGTAGATACAGATAACATAGATATAGGTAAGGATAGGTACATAGAATACAAGACTAAACATAGATATAGGTAAGGCATAGGTACGTAGATACAAGATAAGAATAGATATATGGTAAGGATAGTAGCCGTAGAACAAGATAAACATAGATATAGGTAAGGATAGGACGTAAAGATACAAAGATTAAACATAGATATAGGTAAGGATAGGTACGTTAGATACCAAGATAAACAAGATATACAGGTAAGTGATAGGTAGCATAGATACAAGATAAACATAGATATAGCGGTATGGATATGGGTACTAGATACAAGATAAACATAGATATATGGTAAGGAATAGGTACGTCAGATACAAGATAAACATAGATATATACGGTAAGGAATAGGTACGATATGATACATAGATAAAAACATAGATAAAGGTAAGTGATACGTATCGTAGATCACAAGATAAACCATAGATATTAGGTAAGAATAGGTAGAGCCTGTTATGTTAGTCATAGTTAGTTATGCCTAGTTAAGGTATTATGTTCTCTCGTGTGTAGTAATATATTACTGCGGGCAGGATAGGTACGTAGATACAAGATAACATCAGATAAGGTACGTATATGTAATATAATAAGATAAAACATAGAGTAGTTAAGAAAGGTACATGCTGCTTGCTAGCATAAATTGTAGCACTAAAGTTCCACAAAGCATTATATCTGCTAAACTCGCTGTACAAGCAAGAAAGGAATAGATTCATTATCACCTCTCAAACGCTTGTGCAAGTGTGGTGACTCGACGATTCGTTGACGGCGATCGAAGCGTGGATGCGTGTTTCGACCACGTGCTAGTTACGTTTGCTTTAAGCCTGGCGAACATTGGCCGACATTTCCGCGGAAAAATGTTCGCGCGAAGCAAATGTTTTTGTCTGGCAATGTGCGGGGAACAAGTTGCTGAGGCGCACATTGCGGATACATTTTGCAGGGCGAACAACGCCGTGCGGCCGTCTAGTAGCTGTGGTGTAAAGAGTCCACGTGATCGGCGTGTGGCCAATGCGGCGTGATATGGCATTTACAATGTTTTCCTAGAATTGTCGAGATATCAGCATTTCGATGCTTCAGAAATTGTTCGGACGAAGTTCGGCGACTTTTTTACGCGCAGGCATTGCGAACATTTCATGTAACATTGCTACGATATGTTTTTGAGCAAAAGTGTTCGGCAATGTGCGGCGCGGCTTTAATGGTGTGGCGTTGGTCTGCGGGGGCAGTCAAGGTGTCGTGTACACGCTACAAGCGGCGTTCGGATGAAGGATCGCGTACAGTGGATGCCGGTGATGGAAGGGCAGGGAACCTCTGGGCGCAGGCGCGGGCGA